AAAAAGAAAGATAAAAAAGAAAAAAAGAAAGAAAAAAGGAAGCAAAGGGGCAAGCACTAAATACTCGTATACAGAGCGCGTGGAAGTTTTGAGAATGCCTGCTAAGTGGACGGTTTATGGGACCTTCGTCAGAATTCTGGCCAAGCGACAAGAAGGTTCAGCCCAAGTCGGGGGGAAAAGCTAGTGGGGGAATGCGCGTGCCGCAAAGGTAAATCGAAAAAGGGCCTACCTCGTTGCTTTGCGACGTATGGGTGAAAGGAGGGGAAAAAAAGAAAAATGGTATTCATTGGAGTATACTGCATATACATATATAAGATGGATACATCATACGTAAGATAATAAATATAATATGTAGGACATTACGTGAAATACGTACATTAACAATCAAACGCGCGCAGTTAGCAGACGGGAGAAAATACGCTACTGGGTAAGCCAACGCAGCTGCCTCTTTGCCTTCCAACGAAAACGCTTGTCAAACCAAAAGGGATTGAAAAAAAAAAAAAAAAACACCCCAGTGAGCCATTGGAGGAATTTTTATACACTTGCGCGAACACTTCAAGAGAGGGGCCACCCTTTCATAAGTCACATTATTTTGTTTTACTTAATTATTTTTGCCTTTCCCCTTTATTGCAATTCTCCTGTGTCGATAAAGAACCGTTACTGCGTTTTTTTTTCTTTTTGTTTTTTTCCCATTCCATTGCCACATCACACGTGGGAAAGGAGTTACATAAAAATGCAGTCCCATTTTTTAACACGTCGAGAATTTTTTCTCCTGTAAGAAGTCTCCCCCGTTCAGTGGTTCATTCGGGGGGGGGGATATGTCTTTCATTCGTTTTTTTTTTTTTCTTCTTTCCCCCTCACTTTTGCATACACACACAAATGCGTTGCTATTAAGTTGGATGAAGTGCAGGGAGCCGTGATGACAGACGAAAGCGCAAAAGGGGGAATACGTTACACTTACCAACCCGTCTACAACTCCCCCTGTCCTGTTTATTCGAACTTTTCGCAACTGGGATGATTGATAACAACCCCCATGGTTGATGAAATCGTATTTTTATTATGCTCTTAATTTATTGGGTGGGGGTGAATAAAAGAAGAAAAAGAAAAAAAAAAGAAAAGCTACAATTTCGTACGTACTGTCATAACAT